CCGTTAGTGCATGCGCCATGCTACGTCATTGCTCTATCACGTACGCACAGTCGCTTCGCGCAATATAAGGTTTGCTAGCTGTGGGACGAGTGGGAAACTTACTTTGAGGACGCGCCTCGTATTAACTTCTCCAGAAGGGATCTGCACTATGGAGTTGGTGCATTTGGAACTGCCTCTTCTGTGAATGTAACACTCACCTGTACATCTCGTGAGGTCGTGGACGCCTCTTTTAAGACAGGACTTTGGAGTAGTACAAAAGCACTTGAGGTCTGGGTCGTTAGACATATCGCCAAAATCCGCTGAGTAAATCCTCCCCTTTAGGCCCTTGAACACAGTCGGTCCCGCGTATAATACATTTAAGGATCTGGAAACAATACAAATTTTCATAATTCATAATTATTTTCTATTAGTACCGGAAAGTCCCTCGTTTAACTTAATACAGACTGTGAAAACTAAAATGTTTAAAACAAGACAATGAACGACATTAACTCTTGGAGTGAAATTAATTCTCTAATCCGGTGAACGAAATGAAATATAACAATTTTTATTTTGGTTTATCTAATGTCACTGTTAGTAGGCCAGATGATGAATTACCAAGAACCTCAGTCTGGATATCCGGTCTCTGGACTGAGATTTGATTCGGGACCTTCCGAATATGAAGTACAAAATCTAACCATTTAATCGCCGTGGCGTACTGAAAACACAGCTTCTAAAGTGTACCTGCATAAATCAGGTGCATAAGCGAGGATCGAAGTTGCTTCTTCAAGGAAGGGAGGGAAGATGCTGCCGTCTGTCCCACCATACTCGTTGCATTTTGGACCGCTCCACACGGTCATTCTCGGCTCATCCTTGTAGGACACAACGCGCCCAACATCTGCGACGTTCTGGATGCCGCGTTTCAGGCGAAGGCGCTCTTGTAAAGTCCCATTGGTCTACAGTGAAAGACAAACATATTTCGGTGTTTTTTTTCAATTTAATATTGGGGATTAACGAGAAGACGGTGCTGAGGAGAATGTTTAGACCCGCGAAGAAGTGACATGAGGCCGACTAGTGACGAGTAATCAGAAATGATTATCTTACCAAAATGTTATTAGGGTGAGTGGGATAAGATGGACGAAACACAAAGCACGAATTGGAAAATAGCAAATGCAGAATTTGAGTTGGGAAACCTAAAGGGAAGAGACTTCTTGGGAGATCTAGTCGTAAATGGGAGAATAATACTGAAATTGAACCTGTGGAAATAGGGTGTGATAAGTAAGATTTGAGTTTTCACAGCGGTGAGTATGAAGCTTTCTGTCTTCTGGGTTGTTGCGCTGTGTAGTATGGACGATGTTTACCAACGTTTTAGAGGTTATACTGCTCCGTCATCAGGGTGTGATAATATTGGCGAGCGCATGTGAATACGACATCAATGACATTGTTTAGTCAAATATTGGCATTTTTTATAGATTTCGATAATTTGTTGTATTTGTTAATGAAACATAACGTTGTCTGCGAAATTATATTTCGGTTCGAATGAATCCAACAGATACCCTACAACACTAAGCACAAATAAACTATAGTTTCTATTAGAAACCGATAATGGTTTCAAAATGAGCCAATAATGGATCCGAAAGTGACCTAATTTGTCAGTTAAGGAATTACCCACCGTTTTCGGAAATAGAAGGTTTATTGTTTTGTTTACAAGAGCTAGCCCTTTATTGAGCTATGTGGATTCGGTACACAACAATCACATCCTTTTATTCATAGACATATTTTAATATTATCCCTTCTTCCACATTTAAGTATGGAATTTATATTTTGTTTTCATGTATTCCTATTAAAATGTTATGTGCATTTATTATCTTACGTTTCACCACACACATCCTCCGTAATCTGATCACCCTGCTATTATCATTATTGTTTATTATTGCAAATTTTAATTTCATTGATCTTCTTATGATTACTAGAATGGCCATTATTACTAGATGAATATGCCCATGTTATTGAAAATAAGGCAGCAACTGTATATAAGCCAAAACAAGTTTACTCACGCCACCAAATAACGAGAATCTGAAGGCGTTTTTTCCTACTTTCTGCAAGTCCTTCCCTTGCGTTTTCATCAGCATGCAGAGCATCCTCGCAGTGAAGTCCTTCAACGTGCAATTGATAAGGACGCCTTCGAACAGTATGTCCTTGACGGGCGCTGTGAGGAACACTGAGTCAGAGGTACCGAAAATAAGAGGAATCGCCCTAGAGATGAGCGGTAACATGAGAGACATGTCTCTTTCTGCTGATAGCACCATGCCCTGGAACATGCAGATGGTGAGTGTTAAATAGCCAAATTTGGATTTACAAAGAAATGTTTAACGCTACTAAAACTATGAGGAAAGAAGTTTAAAAAAAACTTTTATTACCACTTTATCCCACAGGTAAAAGATAACATCTTCTGAAGCCAAAGTTCGTGTAAATAGTGTTAAAGAATCCACACTGTAACGCGAAAGAGACACTACACTCCAAAATTACAAAGATCAAATAACTAATAGGGTTTAAGGAAATAATCGCTGTTTATTCTAAAAATCATCAAAACATTACCCGCCAAGAATGAGGGAAAAAATTAAAGTAGTGTTTAAAACAATTTTTAAAGTATATTTGCTTCAACGTGTATACATTTTGTTTATTTATTAATTTGTGGTATACATAGAGACATAGTCAAGTTGAAACTATGTTTCTTTGAAGCCAGTATTAATCAGTAGATAAGAAAGAAAGAATGTTCAAAATGTTTGAATATGAATTTTAATGACTATCCTGCCTCTCATTAAGAAATCTGCTCTGTTGTTAACAGCTACTACAGTTTTCCACGTGCCTGAAGAGTCAACAAGTTGCAAACGACGAAGTACGTAGTAAGAAACCTTTAATACTTTTCAACAAACAGTGTGATTTCCCTAGAGACGGTTATAAGTAGCTAAAGCATGTAAGGTTGATAATTTTAATAAGGATACCTGTGTTATTAAGGTACTACATACAAAAGAGAATGTTTACCAAAATGAGTAAATGAGGAATGGTGATGATTTCGTCTCCAGTTAGCGCGCCGGACTTGAGTCTGTTGAAGAACCAAGTGTTTCGATTGTTGAACGAAACGCTGTCATCTTCCTCGTGGTCCAGAAGCTCGGCCTTGTGTTTATACTCACTAAAAAAAATTCCAGTCTGATGAGCACAGAAATCTCGTTCTGCTGTTCATTGTTTTAGCAGTATGCAATTCCAAAAGTATGCTATTTATTTTACTAAACAATATTCTTATTAATATGTTTACAGTTATATACGGCTACATTATTAATTTTAATATCTGTATCATGGTTTTAATAACCACGATGCAAATATTTTTGCTAAATTTGTAGATGGAATAACTCAATAATACCTTGGCGACATGATATTAAACTACTAAGTGCTCAGTCATACGTTGACTATGAAATCCAGAAATAATTTCTTATCGCGATTGCACAAATCAACTATTAATTTCTCTTAATTTCGCTGCATGGTCCATTGATCTGTAGTACTGGGAAACTGTTATAGTATTTCACACAACAAAACTTAAATTTTTTTCTAATATATATCGCAGAACAACTGATCAGGATTCAACTGTAAATGTATTAACTTTACTCCGATCTCGGACGTTTATACGAGAGTAATCTTGGATGTAATTATAGACAAATTAAAATATCAAATTGAAGGTTTATCCAGTTTCATGGTGTCCATTGAATTTTAATTGAAGTCAATAAATTGTTGTAAAAAATATAGTCATGAATATAGAATTACAATGGAGCAGAGTCCTTCTTGAAAAGCTAACAGTCACTCAGCTTCTCAAGAAGTTCTTGAAGGTTTATTATCGAGTTAAGAACACGCCACTGATTTCTTAGCGCGTATTAATTCATGAAGAACTCCTTTGACGTAAAAGATCTAATGGACGACCAGCTCCATCCAAGCAGAAGATTGCTATTTGCTGCCAAATACTCGCACCATATCACTTAACCTAACCTAACCTAACCTAACCTAACCTAACCTAACCTAACCTAACCTAACCTAACCTAACCTAACCTAACAACACAACGTACTCACTCATAAACATACGGACCCACTTCCCTCAGCACGGGTTTTTCTCCTTGCTGGATTTCCATTGGATTTGTTACGTTGAAAATGTAGACCTTGAACCCAACAGGGTCTGGAAAGTTCGACCACATTTCTCTTAAATCCGTTCCTGGCTTTAAATTTATATTCTGAAAGTGAAATTTATTGTATCTTAATAAATTTAAACTCACTTATATACTTGAAATTATATTTCTCATCAGTCCGTATAGATATCGTATAGCATATTATAAATACGAATAATGAAGAATTGATATGTGAGTAATAAACATCAAACATTCACATTGTAGTATTAAGTTATAGGTCTACACGAACAAGCATGCGAATTTAGGCCGGCATACATACTTACACACATAAAGTGCATACTTTTTGAATTTTACTGACATAGAAACAACAAAAGCTGCGTGATAAGAATTCCACGATAAGCTGCAGGTAGACATATATATTAATACAAATCGTAGGCCTAACGTTTTTAGTTGGGATATTTGAGGTCCTCCATCTTTAGCCCTGAAGTTGGAATGTTCGGTACAGTATTTTATCTAGACATTTTAACTTACCCCAGCAATCTGTGAGCGAATTAGCTTGGGGAAGGCATACCACCCCAGAACTGCTCCAAGGGTGATAATGATAATTCCTGAGAGGAGAAGACGTTTTGGGGAAATATTCTGAAACGAAACTGTCCGATAAATGTTTAAGAACTCAAGAAAGACGTATTTATTCGCCATAAGACTATGTATATACATACACAAAACTACATTTGTTGTTTCCATAGAAGTGACAAGCCAGAGTCATGATTTATTTAAGGTATATTCGTCTATAAGAGCAAAGGAAAACAATTTCAAACGACGTATTAGGTTTTCGATGAAAATTAAACCAGGACTTCTGAAACGAAGGTCTATGTGACATATTTTAAAACAAGTTCTATGCAAAAATTATCACACAGATTTAAAAAAAATGCCTATAAATGCAAAACATAAAATAATTATCGGGACGTTAAAATTATCATTATGTATATTATTTAAAAGTTCATAAGTTAAATTTAATAATAAATTATATAAACCCCTTTCGTAATAATACATCGAAATCCATGTGTGTAAAACACTAGGAAGTTTTTGTAAAATGCGAATTTACGTCGTGAATAATTTCTGCTAAACAATTAACTAACCGTCAACAGATTTGTGACACACTTTTCGTGACGCAACACTAACATGTGTGTAGAAAATTCTGTTCCCATAGACCGATTCATGGACAAGACGGCGCCTTGGTAAAAATCGATGTTTTGAAATCGACTTTCAGAAGAATTATGACATGCAGTCAGACTCGAACATTATCACTTCTCTCGTGAATTTACACTTTTGATGGTCAAATGCCAAGAATCAGACGGTGTGTCCCAAGTGCTGATTACATAATGAGTTCTGGTGACCTAGGCGTAGATGGGAGAATAATTTTAAAATAAATATTAAGGAAAGAGGGAGGAAGGTTGTGGACTGGATTTATCTGGCTCATGACAGAAACCAGTGATGGGCTCATGTGGACAAGGTAATAAACCTTCGTGTTTCATAAAAATCCGGGGATTACTTGATAAGTTTAATGTCTATAAACTTCTCAAGGAGTTAGATGTTATGGCAGAATGCGTGATCGATTGTAAATGTTAAACCAAACCAGTGTGTTTGTCGCTGACTGGGTAGCCGGTAAACGTGGTACAGACTCGCCGTTGTTGGAGTAATCACTCTCAGTGCTGGGAAGCTACGAGTTACCGATTCCAAGTAGACCATGAACCCTAATCTCATTAATTTATGTTAGTTAACTTCACAACTAATCTAGCACACTAAATCTTATTGTATGATCGTAAATATATTTTAGAAACACAACTCACCCATTCTAATAATGTTGTGTATGCATGAAATGCCTTTCCTTACTAAACGCTGTAGCTCCATATGACCCTTCCTCCTGTTCTGAGCCGAGCAGTGGAGCTGCCAGGAAACAACTGAATTTAAGAGTTCCATGGGGCAAAGGCCTCAAGAATGTACTCAGTAGGGGGATGAAACTAAACATTTATAAGTTTCCGCGTTTCTTGGCTTTACGCGCGGTCAGTAACCTCATGTCATCAATATCAAATGTCGTTTTTTCATTGCTGTATTTCCCTGCTGACTTCCAGAGTTCAATAACATTCCTGCCAGACTAACAGTTCAATCTAATTAGGGATAATTTATGTTATTGTTAACTTCACTAACATTGTTATGGAAGTGAAGGTTTAATTTTACTGAAAATCGATTTTAATATTTTTAAAATTAAAAACTGCGTACTGTTTTCAATATCAAGGTCAGGGACCTCATGTGCCTTATTTTACGTAAGTGACGTAGTTCTGTATAGAATTATGTGTATAATTCTGGGTCTGTACTGAATAAATTAAATACAAGTCAGAATAATTATGTATTAGAAAATACTTATAGTAGAACACACAATATGTCAACCTTAAAATGCATGCAGGATTGAAAACGAAAATACATTTCCAGTAATTCGTAGCTAATTTATGTGCATAATTATTGATCCATATGTGTGTATTTGGCATATTTATTTGCAGAAGGGTGTATACATGTGTATGTCTGAAGAAAAAACGCTCTCTTAAATGTACTGGAAATTGTATTTACACTTTGATAGAAAATGAAGGCAGTAATAGAAGAACAGAGTTACCTATTACGTCAAATGCACTAAAATGGTACTGAGAGAATTTTATTTTTCTACTCGGTTCATAAATGCAAAATCTTTTCGTATGCGTGTGGAAAGATAAGAGTAATATAAAGAAAAAGTATTTAAAGAAAGTGCTTTGAACTCTATTTAAATCTTCGGAATTCTACGTAACATACACAAGTCTTACTCTTATATCTGTAAGTGGAATGGAAACTGTGGCGAAGTATTATATTGGTTATTTGAATATAAATTCGATATTAATGTCGATTAGCTACAACGATATTTCGAGTCTAAGGTAAAAACTTTCTCTCGCCATCGTCCATCGTGTTAATGCCACGGAAAAATAAATTTTCGTATATATTTTCGCAGCGCGTCTAGAATTTACCGCGGATATTGTCCCCGAAGTTTTACACACTTACATCTCATGGCGAGTGGGTGCTCTCGAGTCAAGTTCACCCTAAATGCCACAACTTTTCAGCTTCACCAAGTATGAAATTCAGCTATAAATAAATTGTACATAACATACCTTCGTCTTCCTTACGAGAGATCAAAAGATCAGAATTAATTTTGATAGAAGGATGTTAGCCAACTTCTGTCTTCATGGTAGGGCATATGCCTACTCAGGGTAGAACGTTATTGGCTTATTTCCTTTGATTTGGACACGAAGGTATACGACAGCTAAAGACTACAGCCACATCGGGATTTGACGATCTCTGATTCCGCCTGCATTTGACGTAGCAAGTCTCAACACCGTTGGAACAACGTAGCGTTGTTTTAAAATTTTAAATCGAGCATTAGGTGACGATGCATGAAATAAATCTGCCAGAAACATCGCACACTTAAAACATAAGAACGGCTAGCACTACTTTCGACCAGTGTTGTTTTGAAGGCCGGGTGTTACAACGAGGAATCACCAGATACCACAGAACTGGTTCTGTAGCTCGGGACAGGCATTGATTCGAATTATTGGACGAACGGAATCTAATAGTATCATAACGCATTATTCACTTATACGCTATTTTTCAATAATGTGCTCTGTCTTGGCTGGTTTTCCCGTGGATTTGAGGGCGATCGGTGGCGATCCTGTGATTACGGTATCATCGTTCTTTTTATGCATAATGAAGAAGAGTCCAGTGGCTGTGAGAATTCCTCCAACGGCTATCATTATCCACTTCATGGCACCCATGATGCTTATGACAAGAAACAGGTCCAGGATTTTGTCTACGTATTCCTGATGAAGCTCCATGTTCTGAAATGTGAGTAACCATTTTTTAAAAGCAGCTGGATGTTGGTCCAATTTTTATACGTCTTTGTACATTCCATTTTCCTTGTAAAACATAGTTCAGTACCCTGTTTGATGTAAGGTTAGCTTTCGTTCTTTCAACATAGGCATATTCACGTAGTCCGGAATTCCATGTGGAATAGTATTGAATTCTATTATTCAATTTATGCAGATATTTGAAACAATGAAGCTTAGGACGTCATCGATTACTGCCGTTGTGGAATGAAGTTATTCGACCGGTGCCTTACCTCCTGCATCCACAGAATGGGAAGCAGCGTTGGTTTGATGTTCTTCAGCAGGTCGATGCTGTCAGTGCGGTGCAACGCGATGTTCAGTTGCAGTCTCTTGTAGGCCTCGAGCGGCGTTGCTGTCAGCTGGAACACATGCCGGACATTTCAGTTAGCAGAGGGAGTGGTTACGGGCTGGGCGGACAGAGCTCGATTTCCAGAAGGGCTACAGATGATCTATCAGTTTTATCCTCTTTGGCCAGAAGTAAAATGGCTTGGGAGTAAACTTATCACTCACAGTCCTTTTGTGTCGAGGTCTAAATTATATGGAGTTTTACTTTCATGCCCTCTATACGTCCATCCGCCCATATTACATGGTTCGTAGGCGTTTATTTGTAGAATATTTCAAGTGATTTGTTACTAATTTTATCTGATTCCTCAATAATGTGATTTATTTGTGTGAAATGATACAAGCCTAAAAAACCCGTTTGAACGTGGAATATGAGGCAGCAGGACTCTCTGAAGTGACTGCTAAAACTGCATTTCTGTGAATACGTATTTTGAATATTCCTATCTTAGGCTAAGCACTTCACATATAAATTGAGTCAATGAGACGAATTTTATACATGGTATAAATTATTAACTGGACTGCAATGACTCAGTCTGGGTCACAATGGCAATTTTCTGGTCACGGTGATAAAGCTTTTGTTTCCATAGCAACCAAAAATCTTCTAGCGGGGCTAACTCACTACTATCAAAGCTCAAAAATTCACAACCAGAATGGATTTAGTCATTGCTTTCTAAAGAAACTGGGCAGAAGAATGTAGGATGCGGAACTAGCGAGGACACGTATGAACTTAACAGACGTAGTCACAAATGTGGTGTGGTCTGCTCACTTACCGGTTCGAAGAGCAGTGTAATCTCATGTTTCTCCTGAGTGGGGTTCAGGCCGACTACTCCGTCCAGATACTCGTCATCTGCAAGGTAGAAGTGGGGGAGGGACACCACGATGGGGTATCCTGCCACAAGAACGGATACACTTTGGTATGCTCATAACGTGTAATTTCGTGTCTTAAAGGTATTATGCCATCACACTTCCCTCCTCATCCACTGGATAAGAAATATAAAAATAGGCTAAGACATCAAAGTGTTATAAACTGATTTTTTAAATGCACGCGAAAATACCAACAAAAGTATTATTAAGTAGGATTTGAGCTTTTCACGGCGGAGTCCGAAGATGACTGTGTTCTGGGTTTTAACCGGTGTAATATAATCGCCCTGATGATAAAGGCAGCAAGGACCTCTCGAACGTTGGTAAATTTCACGGAGCTAAAAAGCGGAAGTATTATTTTTAACGGAATATGTATATACTGTAAAAAACAAACTAATTTGGATATTTAAAAGTTATGTACTTGTATTTCAATAATTATGAGATAGGAGGAGCATGTAGAACGAATGGAAAATGAGTATGTAATTTTGGTTAGAAAGCCTGAAGAAGAGAAACCACTCGGAAGACCTAAGTGTAGGCGGAAGAATAATATTTTGATGAATTTAGGGGAAAATGGGATTGAATGGTGTACAACTGATTCGTTTGACTAAAGATAGGGGTATGTTGCGGGATCATGTGAATACGGCAAAAAAAATCGGGTATCATAAAATTTCTTAACTGGCTGAGCGAACAATTGTTAGCTTTCTAAGGAGGACTCAGTTCCATGGAGTCAGTTCGTTGAAGTCATCCTTGTACTGACCCAAACGGAGGAAATTAATCCGTACAAGAATCCGCCACTAAATTTTATATGTCAAATATTACGAGCCTCGTCCTTTGGCCTATTTTCGTTGAGAAATACCTTCTGAAACTATCATTTCGCAAATTGTCTGCATTAAGAGGAGCTGATGTGCCATTTTACCATATCCGATGCCAGTCCATCTTATCCATCGTCGCAGTCGAGTGATCCAGTCGTGCTTCTTTTTCAGGAAATTCCGGGCTCAAATCTCGAGTACGGAGAAGGGCTATTCAGTTTGAGGTTTCTCGTTGTTTCTCTCAGTCCTTCAAGGCAAATATCGGGATAATAACATTGAAATGTTAGTCAGGTGCTGTGAAAGTGAAGAAGTATGGAAATAAGGAGCGCTCACCAGAGCAGCGCGAGACATCGTGAACTCCCCTCTTGAGGCAGGTGGTTGGCGTCGTGCAGAAGCACTTGAGGTCAGGATCAGTCGAGGTGTCGCCGAAGTCAGCGCTGTATTTGTATGAGCGGATTCCCCTGTACGTAGTAGCATACTGGTACTCGGCTTCGGAAACCCTTAAGGAGAAAAATACACGTACATAGAAGATGACTGTCTTCTGGTATGTTGCGCCGCGTAGTCTAGTAGAAAATGACCGACTTTTTTAAATTCCGTACGTTCAGGTCAATTATAACCTCCACTTCACACAAAACACAAATTAAATATTATAAAATTTCTCAATTTGGATCGTTGTAGAATGAAGATATAACATAAAATACAGAGCTTATTAAGTTCTGCAGTGTTTGTTTGAAACTTAATTTTTGATGAACACGTAACGAAATACAATGAATATTAATTTAATGCTCAACGCTACAGATTTCTATGTAACAAAAGACTGGACGGAACGTATTCTTCATAACCAGGAAATAGGAAAAACAATTTAAAAAACTGTCCGTTTTGACATGTCAGTAAGTGCAGTAGTAAAATCTCCCAAACTACGGGACAAATTTCTTAGAAGTAAACTAAATTTTGTGTAGGTCTAATTACTTTGTATTTCGTACGCTGGATTCGTACCTGCACAGTTCTGGAAGGAAACTCTCAATCTTGTCTTTCTTTGTGAGGAACGGAGGAAAGATGCTGGAGTCCGTTCCTCTGAGTTCATTGCACTTCTCTCCGTTCCAAACATTCTGTACGCTCTGATCCTTGAATTCCACAAGTTTACCCAAGTCCTTGATATTCTCTATCCCTCGTTTTACTTCAAGCCTTTCTCTGACGGTTCCATTTTTCTAAACAAACGTGAAACAGACATTTCATTAGCGTTACATAAGAGGCAAAAGTTACTAAAGTCTGACTGACGTCTACTTCGGCGGGACTAAAGTGACAACAGAGTCTAGTGTATTATTTTACTGCTTAGTGTTGTCAGTTTGATATGCGGTTTCTTCTTTACCGGTAATTTTGTGGGATCTGAACTGTATTTGGTGACTGCAAACCTTTAAAAGAATGTTATGTCCACCGTCTTCAGTTTTTGACTGCATTTGTCAGCTTTTAGTCTCAAACATTTTTATTTATTTGCGTGTGGTTTATTTTATGATGCTTCGACTATATAGCGATGAATGATAGGGTGATTATAGAGTACATGAGAGAAAGCGACAGTGGCCTAAGGTACTATCCCGGCGTTGCCTGGAAAGACTGAGGAAAAGTACGAAAATGCCGGTATTCGTTCGGAAATTTCAACCTGGGACCTTCCGATTACGAAAAAGGAGTGATAACCAAAAGACCGTGATGTTCGGTTTTCAGCGGTTTAACAAGAAACCACATGAGCGCACTGCTGATTACTTCTGTTCTGATTGGCCAGCGGAACATCTCCTGCTGTTCATTTGTCTGTGAGAAATACCAACAGATGTTACCAGAAATATGAAGCAAGACATTCCCGTGATTCTGATTCTTCTAATGAAAATCAGATATTAATTTAAAATATCTAACTCATTATAGGAATCAGGACTATATATCGATAATTTTGAGTCTGATGGGTTATGGTAGAGACGATTCATGAGAACTGATTTTAAGCGATAAAATTGAAATTATGCTTTTTCCGCAGATGACATTTTCCAGAAACTCTGCATGTTTTGTAAACACGTCTGAATCTACGCATTTTTCACCGGTAAAATCTCAGCTACTGAAAAAATAAAGCATCTTATTGAACTTTCATGGTGTCTACAATCAACTTGGTCTTGTGACTGGAATTTAGTTGTGCAGAAAACAAATGCGTGTTTGCAGTGAGATTGAGAATGTATTCACTACAAATAAGGCACACTTAAGCTATGTTAATGCGTGATTAGTTTACTTGACTCTTACAGATCCAAAAAGGGAAAACTTGAAGGTGTCCTCACTGACTCTATGGAAATTATGAGCTCGCTTTTTTAATTCTGAACAGACGGCCTTGGTAGAGAAGTCACTGGCTGTGCAATTGAATAGAACACCGTCGAAAAGCAGATCTTTTGCTGGCGCAGTGACGAAGACCGACGTGGGATTGTCGAAAATGTTTGGGATCGCCACGTTGATGAACTTGAGTCCGAGTGGTTGCTCGCGTTGTGCTGTCAGTACCATACCCTGAGAATCGAAAACGAACATAAACAGAATATCATAAACACGTCGCCGACAACCGACGAAATGCGGCTATGCAGCTTGGTGGTGTTTGGATGAAAATGCACAAGATGTAAATGGGGAGGGTGGGATATTTGATTTCTTGTAGTGAAACTTTGCATTTGGAAATACTGGATTGTAGTAGAGAAGGAGATGTAGAAGGTAAAGTTGCATTTATATCTTCTTGATGATGGAGGCAGCAAGGACCTCTGAAACGTCTGTAAACGTCTACCAGACCTCACGGCGCAACAACCCAATAGACAGCCATCTTCAAAGTTACATTTGTTTCAAAGGCTTTTTAAAGTGTGATAAATCAGTAATGAATACAGCATTTTCTTGGGTTTTCCTCTACGTCACGTTTTGCACATTGTCGATTCACTTGAACAACACATTTCAGTCCAACTGGTCATCATCACTTTTCAATTCCCTGCCTTTATTATGTCACTGCAGTAAGGATATCTTCCCGATGTCCAGCATTTCACTCGGGATGACTGACGGAAAGAGACCACTTCGAAAACGTAGCCACAGATGAAGAATAATATTGAAATGGGTCTTGCAGATTGTGAGTGTGTGTGGGCTGGATTTATCTGGATCAGGATAATAATTGTTATAATCAGTGACATCTTAAGTCGACACCGTAACCTCCGGGTTCCATAAAAAGCGGTGAAATTATTAACTAGCTGAGCCTTTAAATAAGAACGCTGTTCCCTGTAAATAGTTTTACAAGTTTTAACTCATAAAGAACATCACTCTAACAGACAAATCGAACCGTGTGGTTTTGTGATATGTATAAACAACTTAATACTGAGTTTCACAACTGTTGTTCTGGCATTGAAAAACAAGACCTCGGCATTATAAAGCGTGGGAATTGTTACTCATGCATCCCCCCATCTTTCCCTCTGTTATCATGCATGGCCTTGGTGTCTTCTTGTATTGAGGTCAAGTTTTGCAAGTAGTTGAGTCTTGTAATTGCAAGTCGGGCATTCATGCTACAGCTTTGGTAAAATAGGAAGAATGGAACAGGACAGGATGTTCAAAGGTACGACGTATATAACGGCATTGAACCTGCCAGTTTTAAGCGTACAGATTACTACTTTCTGGAATTAAACGTAGTTTAAATGCAATCGAAATTTGTTCTACTTTGGAAGTGGGGGAGTAATAGTCTTTCAACATTATGTTCATTTTATCTTGTGGTTTTTTGATCGTGGTAATGCTGTATTATGAGGAGAACACATAGTTTCTTTGATTGGAAGTTATGTAAATAGTGTATAAAAGATTATAAACTGCAGAAATATTACAAACGTTTCTTTCAAGTATTATTCCAGCAAGGTGCTAGAAGAACTTCTTCGAAATACAAACTTTATCTCATAGTAGTCATCTCTCGATGATATAATGCGATTGCTGTATAATGATACTGAGTTATGTTATATCATATATTGACTGAATAAATAGAACTCTATTTCAGTCAGTAGGATCAGTGAATGAGCTAGTATTGTGCTTTACACAGCGTTCATCATCTTACCAGAAGGAGCACGTGGGGAATAGTGACAATCTCGTCTCCAGTAAGTCTGCCAGACTCTTCTTGGTGGAAGTGCCAGGTGTTCCTTAAGTTAAACGAAACTGTGTCATCGTCTTCGTGATCCACTATATTCACCTTCTCTTTGTCCTCCCTGCAACAGGAAATTTTGTTTGATTTTATTATCGTAATCATATTTGGTGAGAATTCTTTTAGAGTGTGACAAATATTCACATATTTGGGAAATATGGTAACGAATCAAAATCTCATTTACGACGTATTTATGAGCAGAGGGGGTGAAGTGACAGATAATTGTTGAAAATTCCATAATGAGGAGCTCCATAACTTAAATAATCTTCACCAAGGATTGATAAGATGATTAAATTAAGAAGGAAGAGATGGGTGCGGCATGCAGCGCGCATGAGGTAGATGAGAACTGCGTTCATAATTTTAGTTGGGAGGTCTGACGGAAAGAGGCCACTGAGAAAAGCTAGACTTAGATGGGAGAACAATACTAAAATAGATCCTAGATAATATAAGGTGGAAGGTGTGGATTGGATTCATCTGGCTGAGGATTGGTGCCTCGACAGAGGACAAATCACGGTGATAAATCGTCGGATTCAGTAAAATGCGGAGAATTTTTTGTGTAGCTGAGCGCCAATTAGCTTCTTAACATGAAATCGGTTGTATCGATTAGGCCCAAAAGTCTCCGTAAGATGGAAGAAGGAGAATAATGTGAAAAAGTTGTGGCGTGACTCACTCGTGAAGCTCAGAGCAAGGCTGTTTTATTGTAGTACAACAAGATCGTGTTGGAATGCGTTACATAAACCTTCGCTACTTATCATTTTTCTCAGCCATTTAGCTTTCGTGTATTCTTCAAGTAAGTGACAATGATGTTAATTACACCAAACATGTCCTACATTTATAATGTGGAAAGGAGATAATAGCTATCTACTCCATGCTGTTTTGTAATCACTACAAAACTATCGCTTTTCCTCTGAGCAACCTTCAACACGTTGCCTCCATTGTAAGTGACATCGGTCGGTTTTAACGTGAAATTAACTGGCTCAATCCGGGGCCAAAGGGCGGTACTGAATATCCAGGTTGAAAAACTAATTAACTAATCGACTGACAGACCAACCAGTTAACTAATTAACACTGCTGTCAGAGTGCTTCTTGAGAAGCTGATAGCCACTCAACATCTCAAGAAATTTCCCGTCTGCAACAATCCAGAATTCTCGTTTCCATATCAAATTTTGGTTGCTCACGGTGACAAGATGACTGTCTTCCGAATTGTTGCGTTGTATAGTCTGTTAAAAATTGACCATGTTTCGGAGGTGCTTACTGACTCCATCATCAGGGCGATCAGACTAAGACGCAACTTCCCAGGAGACGGTAGTGTTTGTTACCATGTTCACAGGAGCTTGCTGATGTCCGAGACCATATGTAACGTTACATGACGTGCGTAATAACAGCGCAATTTGAGCAGAAGTAATAGTTTCATTCGCAAAGTAATCCCACGTGTTTGAAATACGATCTTTTATGTTTCTTTTTCACATGTAGTGAAGGATTCTAGATAAATTTCTTCTAGATTTTCTACAATGCAGAATGCTTACTTGTAACAGTAAGGTCCCACCTCCTGCACAACAGGCGTGGCCCCTTTCTGTACTTCCATGGGATTTGTTACGTTGAACAAGTAGATCTTGAAATCCATCGGGTAAGGGGCTTTTTCCCAAATTTCCCTTCTCTCAGAGCCCTCTTTTAGCTCCAGGTTCTGAAATTATGAATGAAGAGAGTACACATTAGGTATCAACTGCCTGATAAACGGTTTCACGGTCATTTGGTGCAATGAAGATAACTGTCTTCTGGGGCGTTGCACCGTGTAGTGCCTTAGAAATTGACCGGAATTTCAGAGTTGCCTTCTGCCTTTATTATAAGTGTGATGATGATAGAGGCAGTAAACACCTACCAAACGTCGGTCAAATACTGCGAGACAACATGCTTCAACATCCAAGAAGACAGTCTTCATATTGGCCGTTGCGAAAATTTGATTCTCACAAATGCTACGAAGTCTCAGTTGGAATTAATATCCGACGATTTAGAAACTATCTGCGTCTCCGTCATGAGAGGTTCATGTAACTACCCCTAATGGTAGAGGCGAAGACTGTCTCCAAAACGTCGGATATTAAGTCCATTATTATACTACTGATAACCCAGGAATACCTAATTTTATCCAATGCATGGAATTCGTCGGTTAAGTTCCATAAAGAAAATTAGTGTTTGGTTTAATGAATGTCATCGGCTTCCAGAGGCAGTGTGTGCGTCCCTTGCATTTCTGAGAGAGGAATTAAAAAAATAATGAGAAATACGTTTAAAGTTGGCCAATTAGTCTCACCACTACAATTGACTATTGGTACTTACTTCAATAATTTGGCTTTTCACTAACGCCGGGAACCCGTACCATCCCAACACTGCGCCAAGGACGAAGATGACCATCCCACAGAGAACGAGCCATCCTGGAGTCTGCTTCTTCAGTGACACTTCTGGATAAGGTTTGATTATCAGTTTCAGTGAAACAGGGCATAGCGCAGTGGAAAATGTAACTATAAAACTTGCAGTGAGGGCCGTGCATCATCTGTTTATTTTACTTCCATAACTGAATTATAACTTCGCAAGAGAAAAGCGGAATAAATGTTATTATATTTTAGCTTACTTACATTTCTTACGGAAAAAGTGAGTTTATATATAACAGATGATCATGCTGTGTGTGTTTGTGTGTCCGCCTTTCGACTTTTGAAAAACTGACCTATTTTTAAAACATTTCGTATGAACATTATGTCATTGGAGACTAGTTAAATAGCATAATTTTTAATTTATTGCAGTTAGTAGATTGATATGAGAGTTGCACTAACTTGTGGGGTCGGAACAAGAAATCCAATTTATGTAAGACTTGAGGTTCTCACAGCGGTGAGTATGAAGATATCCGTCATGACGGAGGCAGTATGACCTCTGAAACGTTGGTAAACATCGACCAGACTACACAGCGCAACAACCCAGAGGACAGAAATCTTCATAGCGTAGATAACTTAGAAAGAATCGCCCTGATGACGGAGGCAGTATGACCTCCGAAACGTTGGTAAACATCAACCAGACTACACAGCGCAACAACCCAGAAGACAGAAATCTTCATACTCATCGCCCTGATGACGGAGGCAGTATGACCTCTGAAACGTTGGTTAACATCAACCAGACTACACAGCGTAACAACCCAGAAGACGGATATCTTCAAATCCAATTTAGTTTAAGCTGACAGCATTGTTAAGAATGCACAAATAAATACACATGTATAGGATCGTAAAATGTTTTATGCCAATAGACGTCCGTGAACTATGTTTATATATGTTTAGGAAATTTTTCTGTAGAACGTAAAACAACGTAGCTGTATTGAAACAGTTTTGGTTTAGTTTTGAATCTGCAATTAATTTATATGTACCTGACAGTATTAATTGACTGAAGTAGGATTCGATTATATTACCACCTACGCTCAAACCTTTAACCCTAACCCACTTTCTAAATTTAATTCAACCGTTCGATTATGAGCCTATGTTGCGCAAGTATAACATAACAACATAATGATCGTAACACTGTAATTTGTGTAATAAAAGCGCATGCAACCACCTGGCACGGCTGATAGCCCCGAGAAGAATTTATTATAATTAGTTGCCGTAGAAACTCAGATCATACAAGAGAGCATTATTCTGTTCGGAACCTTTTTCATTTGCACTTATATTAGTGCAGACTGGGTGAACCTTAAACACAGCATTTGTGTATGCACCAATTATTTTTACATTCAAGAACTCTATATTTCCCCACAGGATGTATTTGTGGGTCTTGCATGATTCTCAGAATTAACATGGATTATTTCCTTAAACACCATTAACCAATTGATCTTTGCAATGGATACGTGTTCAATTATATTGGACGTAGGAAATGAATGTATAAGCATTATTTAGACGTGCTTTGTGCTTTAGAAGTTTATTTTTATTTACCTTAACAGTACTGAAAGTATATATGGTTTAAAGGGTCTGATAATAACACACATGTTATTATCTTCATTATGATATAGATATTTTCAGTGCATACTGAAGCCCCATTTCCAAGTTGTGTTATTGAAACTTGTGTATAGAAGGCGGTGTTCACGATGCTCTTTTATTGTCGAAATCAAACTCGTTCTACGCACGATTCAAGTTTTAGCTATATCGATACAGGTTCCATGTCTGCCTGATGACTGTGATGTGTTTAATGCGCTTATGTTCTAACATGTTTCCGTATTATTAGTTGCATAGTATGAGTTTTTAAAATAGCAGGCCTATACATATCAGAGTTACACTTTATATTCTCTCGTTATAGTTAATTTTATGTTTAACGATGATAACTTGTTGACGGTTTACATGGTGAAAAACTACTGATCAATGGTGGAATTATAGTTGTTGTTTGTTTAGTGTTGGTTTTTTAAACATGAGGTACAACACATGTTGTTTGAAATTTTAGTGACTATATAAACACCAATTTTGTTAAATTTGTTATATGCCAGTATAACCTATAAGTGGGAATTCTACGTAGTAATCTGCACTGTGAAATCCTGGTGAATCATTTTACAGATTTTTGAAAATAGGTGAATAGTTTTTGCACTGGTTTCGAAAATCTTCTGCTAAAAATCACAACATTTAAAATATAAACTTATGTTCATAAGAGTGGTGAACGTCTACTTGGCGAATGGATACAGTGGACAGTTAGTGATGCAGCAGCTGTGAGAGAACTGCGGTTGTGGTAATCCGAAGCTAGTGCAGCCTTCACGTGAGGCAGTAGGTGGGTGAGTACAACCTCTTTCGTTACAGTTACGCTGTTTCATTTATTATGTTTTCAGCTGCAGCTCCTCATCAAGCAGGAAAGTCAGATAAATCCTTCAGACTGAGAAAAGTGTCCTCCCAAAATGAACAAAGTATTCAATTGCTTTAGCTTGTTTTCAGTATCTGGTAATGGGGTTTATAAAACAAAAGGAACGGTCCCCACTCTGTAGCAAAATATAGAAAGCCTAACGAGGGAAATTATATTTTACATAGAAACGATGTTTGTAACTAAAATACAAATTGTACCCCCAGCTTTTGTTTTGAACTGTTAGTGATTGTTGTTTACTGTGCTTTTCAGTCGTCCACTTAAGTAGTTGAATTAGACGTGCACATGTTTGTAACCGATGTTTGTATAAGCTTATATTCTTGCAATCCTTGACTAATTACAAATATTTTTTTATGATTTTTAATAACATTATGTTTTTATTCTTATCATAGAATACACACAGAATAATTTTCTTTTTTATAATTAGCATATTAATAATTTGTTACACTGACAGTCTGATAGAGCTGTAATTAAGTAACCCAATATCGTTCAACATTAAGGCTATTTAATCACTTCCCAAACTCACTTTTTCTGACAGTAACGAGCAATAAGGACGTAGCAACGAAATAATGCCAGATGATTTTAAATGAAGAAATTGTAATAGTAAAGCATTATAAAATTAAAGATAGACGCGAGAACATAAATGAATGCCTCAAGCAGTGTTAGATGCGAACACTTATGATTGCTCATAAATTGGAGTGTACACGAACATCAGAAAGAAATGCCCTTTGTTTCTTATGTTAACATACTTTCGAAAACATATTTTGATTTCAGAACAGTGTCAATTGGATTATAACCTTTAGAAAATAAAGTTATAGAGATCTAAAACATTGATTAGCTTTGTGTCACAGAGCTATAGAATGTAGAGAAAGGCAGAATATGTTATTGTTATTATACGCTTTTTGCAGTGTACACGAAGTGGCAGACTATGTCCCATCTGTATGCATGAATCAACTAGAGAACCACTGGACAAATTTAGATAACATTTGCAATGGGCGTTATGTCGTTGAGGTATACCCAAAAATAGTTCTTTCCGATATCGTATAGTTTTTATTACCAACATAGCGGACGAACGAATTTATGAGGTGGTATAAACACTAGTGTCACTTGCAACAGTACCACAGAACGATGTACGGTCTAAAGTAAGAGTTCCAGCGCTGTGAAAAGGATCTCTTGTAGGACATGCACTTATAAATGAAACGCACTTTCTTGTGTATCATCAGGACTATTTCAACCGTAAATTAAGAATCCAGTCTGTACCACAAAGAAAACCCAACTCTTCACAGTTACAGAAGTGGACTAGTTAATGCTATTTTAGGAAATAATCGCTTTCACACGGAGAATCATACAAAACAAAGCAAAAGTACAAAATGCAGATGCACTGTACAGGTAGTACTTCCACTGAGCTTTAAAATGTTAAATCTTGAAACAACCCTAGCGTCCTATTTAGGCCCATGTGGGAAGTACACTATCTTTAAATTAGTATGAAGTGATTTTCAAAAGATAGTTCCGTTCACTTGTTACAACAAACGTTTTATCACAGGAATTTGACAGTTTTTCCACGCGTCATTTGGCCTGCTATGCTTTTGATGTTCATGGCGTAAGTTTCAACTTGCCTCAACCATTATCCGCAACGCAAAGGAAAGTGGTTGTGTTTTGAGTAATGTTTTTGCTGTCAGTTTAAACTTATATCGAAATAGGAACTGGGGGGCTCTCGTACCGTTTTGTGCTTATCGTTCTGATTCAAACGAAAGGTAGAAAACGTTCTACGAGGAAGCAGATGACAATGTAAATTAATAACTGATCTGGTGGCAGACACATATCACTATAAAAGATTTCATAATGTTAATACACATGCGTAGAGATAAAAAGCGATTATTTTTAAAGTGCAACGAGGCTCGAAAACATTGATTTTTAGTGCACATTTTAAAGAAGCTACTCCACAGAGACATCCCTTCTTAAAGCGCTACGGTCTAATTTCCCGCATTTAATGAATTTTCTAGTTTCTTTGCCGTTTTCAACAGCCAACCGTTAGATTCTACCCTGCGTCAGACTAAATCACACGACATTCACCCTACTTTAAGATTTATTTTAGCACCCTTCTATCTTCTCCTCGTTCTCTGTTGTGGTGTCTTTCAGAAAGGTTTTCCGATTGAAACAAGTTTACATTAATATGGAGCTTCCTCTTGGAATACAACTCTTGTACAACGCTTCTCCTTATAGAGCTGTGGCAACTGCTGTTTGCACCTTCCTACACAGTAAAATCAGTAGACTTACTCTTCATAACGAGCCACGGTGAGCCCCTGTCTCGTTGCAGACCGATTCTATGTACTGCCTCAGAAGGAATCTCTTAGGTAAGACGACTGCGAGATTACTTCTCTACTGACCTCGGGACTCCTGGTGGGGGAAACGCTTTTCCCAGGGGGGAATTGTCTTATTTGTAGTTATATTTAATATTTCCTGTACTAAGGACAAACAACAGGCACACAAGTATAGCATAACTTAAGAAGCTCTGTAATTGTTGAGATCCGAATAGTACAACTCTCTTGTAAATTAATAGATGATTTGAATGTTATTATGTATCTCAGTACTAATTAGATATGTTTTCCTTTTTGTAATAATGTGATGATTAAATTGTTGAAATATTAGGCGGATTGGCCATATTGCGTCACTTTGTAGTTTATTTATATGCTATGTAATTTCTTCCGTAAGAATAAGTATCTTTTGAAAATATTATAATTTTCTGCCCTTCAATTTGTCCGTCTCTTCGTCTCGGCTTTCACAGGATCTTTATAAAACTCTGTCGGTTTTCCTCTGAGGAAAGATTAGATCACGTGTTTACTAATTACCTCACTGCAGAAACCAAAGTTGGTGTCATTTTAGGTGAACACAGTTACGGCTTATGTAATCTAGACTCTTGTAACCAAATTTTAACCGTCATTTTCCTTTATTATTGTTTAAACAGAAGTTCGGTAAAAGTAGGAAGTGGTGTTGCTTTTCCTAGACTTTACGCCATGAATGATCATAATGCTAGTGAAATTAAAGCTCCGTGTATTTTTAATCTCACAAGTTGTCGGCTTCAACCTGTGATCACTTTACCGAAAGACAAATGTCCTCAGAAGACTTGCTGGAACCGAATCTCGTACGTCTAAACCGTAGCCAAATGCTTCTCAGATGTATTCTGGCCTTATATTTATCTTTGTCAGTCCAAAAAACGGGAATGAAACGTGCACTAATAATAATAAGTAAATGATCAGCTTTTATCCTAAACATAAGGTCCGAAATTTGTTTGTTGCGTTAAAACATCGTCGGTTATACAGTTTATTTAATCATGTGACTGCAGACTTCAAACTGGACGGCCTTGTTGCATCTAGAAGCTGGAAGTTAACTTCCTGACTGCACCACGGTACAGAACGCTTAACTACGCCTTTCGTATTAGAAAACGGGTGTGAATGAAATGCAGCAAACGTAACTCTATAAAGAATCCTGTAGTTGGAGTTGTATAATAGTTTTAACAGAAGAACACGCTTTGATTGCGCATTGGAAGCTGAGTTTGAATGATGAACATGCTTCATCCTAGGGCTTTATTTAAGAAAAAGAGATATTCATATTTATTGAAAGGGCTGAATTTAAAGAAACTTACCAAAATGAGAAAAATAATTATTAAATTGTATAAAACATGTTATTTACACATATATGCAAACACACATTCAGTCTCGCTTACCTATGATTGATAGCCAAACAGCTGTGAAAATGTGTAGCCTAATGAACTACATAACATATTATAGTTATTTTATTTGTGAACCTGTGAAACTTTAAAAAAATACTTCATATAAAAGTATACTAAGAACGTGAAATTAGAAGTAATTATAATCGATCTGAGGTAAAAAGATTATTAATTCTATAATTAATATAATGAAATTAATTTACCATTTCCGTTTCTGAATTAAACGAATCCTTGAACTAAACTTTTGAAATGTGGTCCTTAGCAGCAGTGGGTGAAGACAGTAATAAGAATTTTGTTCGGCCGCTAAATTAAACATTTAATGCACGTAGACTGAGATAATTATGAGTGAAAATGATACATTAGCGCTGTGTAACATTCGCTTAATAAAACACAAAAGCGTTTCATGGACGGATCGTTCTTGGATCGTGAGAACGGAGGTCCTGTTGCTACCACAACCATAGGCCACACATGACGAAGAGAAGAATGACTGTCATTATCGATTAACGCACAGAATATTATCCAAGGCCACTTCAATACAGATCATATGTAGTCTCGTTAATGATTACGGATATTTATAATTACTAGAATGGTTTAAACACATAAAATTGTTCTCCTCAGTTTCAAGGATTAAAAATTTGTCCATCCGTTCATGAAACTGTTAAAGTTCGCATAAATATTTCATCGTCAGTTTGCTGGTATTTGACTGGTCTTTAATTCGTTTATTGTGGTGTATCGGCAAATGGCTGCTGATGAAACACATTAAAATATAAAAATTGAGTTATTATTATTGTTAGGAATATGTTTATTCTGTTTTTCATGTAATTTCTTGATCTCTTATTGTAGATTTTGTTTTATTGTTTCTAATCCTGTATCGTTGTTTTAATGCTTTGCTGTAATTGGCAATGTATGGTTCTTGACGAGCACACGATTAAAACATATTTAATCATTACATTTTTTCTTGCTATGTGACAAAATTTTATACTGATACATTCCGCGTTCCTAGTCTCAAATCCAAATTATTTTGAAGGCCATGCACTACTGCAGCTTTTTTGCCACTGACGACTGATGTGACGTACTTCTATGCTGAGGTACTTAGAATTCATTGTCTCTGTGTATTATTTCTTGGAACGTTTTTGTTACAAGAACAACAACACTAGTTACAGCTGAGTTTAATGTTTTGTGTTCAAATGATGGCTGTAGCTGCTTCGCACCATATCTCCATATTATGTACTGGTTAGTTAAACATATATATATATATAATGTTTTGTTAATGTATTATTACTGTATATAAGAGGCTAATCGTAAATATGTTCATCTTTATGTAATAATCCATCTGAAACCTGCGAACGTAATTTCTCCATACAAATAAAACTTGTAGAGGATAATGCTTAGTCATGACCTTAACATCGCAGAAGAACTTACAATTATTTCTTGGAACGACAAAAGGAAAACTTACGAGTGCCTTTAGTTCAGGTCTTGGAATATTCTCTCTCTTTATTTCCTTCATATGTTATGCAATAGCCTGCTAAGGAAGCTGGCCTCGGAATGAACGGAAAGAGAAATGAGTAGCTTGTATATTCATGTCTCACCACAAGAATTCAGGACAGAATCATGTTATAGCTATGTCTAATAAATTATCAGGAAATGTGTAATGGAATCACAAAAACAGATCAGAATTATGTTCCCAAAGACGTTAAGGGCAGATTAAATTTTGAAATTATTCGAATAAAATTTTATATCTTTCCTTTTCCTAATCCAAAATCTTGAAGATGAAAATATAAGCTATAATTTTACTTGTTGTTTTGTATGGACGTAACATTTGTCCCTTTTCTTATCATAAGATAACAACTCATTGAGAAGTTGGTTAGGAATTTCGAAAAGCTATTTTGAAACTGTAGTTCTTCTCGGCTTTCTTGTAAAATAAAAGATAAGCTCAAATTTATTCCTGTGATCGGTACTCTCCTGTTAACTTTCTTTTGAGAAGTATCCGGAAACAGTAAGGAAGTGGATATTGATTAAGCAACGTTACGAAAGCTCTTCACGTAACAGAAGGTCATTAAGCTTTCGGGTGATTAATGGGACTCTACTTTAACAGCGTAGTTTTCTGCCCTCTCAAAGAACTCTCTGTTCTTAAGATAATCCGAAGTACGTAAAACTTTTGCTGAGTCGCTTTAAAACATGAGTGGAAAATTCAGCAGAACCACTAGAGTTATATAAACCTGCTTCGAAATATATTTCTTAACTTCATGACGTAATTTACATTCTGGTTAGGAAATGGAAGTTTTCCTAAGCGAATTACCTGTCTTTGTGTTCAGGAATTGCAAGTAATGTTTTCGTACACCTAATGTAAGCACATGAGAAGCGTACATGGTGGACGTTATTAATTCCATGAAAAATTATGATGACGTTCAGTACTTAGTTAAAATTTATGGTCAAAATGCTGATAATCTTAGTATGCTACATAGGGTTTATGACAACATTCTTTCAAAAGTACCTTCTGACTTCAGAGACCTCCTAACCAGAGTAACTCAATAGAGAAACATGGACGGAGGAACGCACTTCCCAAGGCCAAGTTTAAGAGTTTTAAGGTGAAGGGCTGTATCATTCGGAATTAAAATATTGACATTTTGAGAACTATTGGAAGAAGGTAGAATATAGGTTGACCCACATAAATAAATAAGATTCCTTCGTGTTCTTCAAAATGTCTGAGAAACGACAGCTGCTTATTCGTGTCGTGCTGTTAAAGAACTCCAGGTGTTTTTTTCATGTACAATAGCTTCATATTTTTGCCTACCATAAAACATGTACTCAAAATATGATACAATTTTATGTTTTTAATAAGGAACCGATAAGAATTTGCAAATTGAGTGTGTGTGGACTGGACTAATCTGGCTAAGAATAATAACCGGTGGTGGGTTTGTATAAACACGGCAATGATATTTCGGTTCTTTAAAACCCAGGAATTTCTTGACTAGCTGACCGTACTTGTAGGGCTCTGTTCCATGCAGTTGCATTGCCAAGTAACTTATATCTTGGGATGGCTAAAAGAAAGAAGTAACATTTTGAATGTTTCTAAATGTTGAATTTATGTCCTTATATCTCATTGGCCTTGATATTTTGATTTAGATGTGAATCTGTTATTGAATATTTAAATGTATTAATTGAAACGTTAATCACAATACAGACCATATAATGATATATTACTTTCCGTATTTTAATAAATATATTTCAACATATCAAAAAATGTGTCAAGTTAAAGTTGCGGATCTTCAAGGGGCGTGTTGCAAGATGAGTCGATTTTGAGAAAATTTATGAAGGTCAGTTTCAGGTTTTCGTTAATTATTTCTGTCAGATAAGGAACAATAGTTAAGTCGGCGAGCAACAATTTGTCTAAACTGAGAATAACTTTTATCGAAATTAGTTGAGAAGACTTGGAGATGGAATAATCTGACAGCAAAATAAATCCATAATTTCGCCATTATGAGCCTAGTATACGCACTTTGTACAAGAACCTATAATAACTTAAAAGTTAAATATTTTGTTTTCTATTAAACTACTTTATTTTATTTAGCACCATATTTTACAGGCACAACATTTTCGGTTACATAGTACAATGTTATTTATTGCATGCAACAAATTCTAATACTGTTCGCTTTTATATTTTAAATAAATTTATCAGTCTAACAACACTCTTAAAATACAAGTAGTCCGTTATTTTTTGTGAAAATATTTTTATTTGCATCTACTAACTAATTTTTAAATCACAACTTTATATTGACGTATTACAACACGCTCATAACACATACACGCTTGTGGAAACACTCTGAACATTTTAATACCGACTACAGCAGGATACAGAAACCTAACTCCTTTTCACGTTTTTGTGTTATAAATGTAGTATTCTGTAATCATTTCGAATTGACATTTTCATAATCAGGATGTTATATTATTATTATTACTATTCCATTTATTCACCATTTTACAGGATATTTACTTCTATTTACCTGAGACAAACTTGCCCCTGAGGTAGATAGTGCAGCAGCTATTTCTTAAATACATTTTATTTATAATAATAATAATAATAATTACATGGTAAATGTTAGTGTTCCGTTAAGCCCTTTTTAGGTGATCGGCAAATATGTATACCACCTGATTTTACATACATAACTATATGTCACTCATCTCGTTCGTTTATGGATTCCATTTAGTTGTAAAAATTAAGTGAAGAATCCATCCGTAAGATCACTAGAGAAATTATTAACTCTACACACCTATATTATGAGCAAATTTAGCACAAAAATTTAAAATAAAATGAAAATGACTGACCGAAATTTTGTAAGATTTAGGAAGGCTCTGTGCGTCCTTACAGGCCCCGCTTAAAAGAAGTAAGTACATCATATCCAGGGGTTGTTTACCATATCCTGCATTTTTCCCGTTCGGGATTCATCAGCGAACCTTTCGGACATTTCCAGACCTTAGAAAACTCGGGAGAGTTTGAAAGAACCCCCAGCACCCTGATGTGGTTTGGGGAGTGTTCATCATCCATGCTCCAGTGAAGAGATTCTTTGGTCCAGTTCTCACACCACACCTGCATGAAGAACAAACAAACGCAAAAATTCTATTTTCCATTATTTTCGCTTCAAAAGAAATGACAAATTTTACTTAACCTGTTGACGCCACTTTTGCCATAATATTCAAGTACTTTAATTTCATTATAAAATCATATAAATGTTTGAAGCTGTGAAGAATGCAAATATAGAATGAAGGATATGATGTTAATCAAAGGAAAGAATTGCTCCCGCGACTGATTCACACTATAAACCCAAACTGTTTCACTCACGTTAGCGAAGGATAGAAAGAACAGTTGCTCGTCGGAAAAAGCTTCTAGGCCTGGCATCTTTGGTTCAGGCCCGTTTCTTTCTCGAAATCTCTGATAAGCCCTCAGGGACTCACGGAGCCCGCCATTGTCAGCGATATTCTCTCCTAGAGTCAGACGCCCATTTACCTGTGCGCAGGACAGTCGAAAGTTGGATTTATCGCTCACAAAGACAAACATGAAAAGGGTGCGTTTTATTTATGCATGGCACATATGTGCAATCGCCTAAATTATCGCATTGAAACAAAAGCTGTTAAAAGGACTCTGTATATTTCAAACTGTGCTTCCAAAATTATTCTTAAGGTCTCAGGAAGGCTAAAATAATCGTCACAACAGTCTTGCTTTAGTGCGTCCCGAAGGTCCTCACCCAGCCGTCAATCTCCTTCAGCCGGTAGCTACTGTACTGCTCTATAAAACAGGCCGTCCTGTTCACGTATTCCTCGACGGTCGCGTTCGTCCACCACTGCCGCATATTTCCATCTCTGTCATACTGCCTGCCTGTAACGATAAGTAAATTGTGTTTGATCACACAAACTGGTTCCCACAGTTGAGAACAAATCTCATCGCTTTTAACAACAACAGCAAAGTTCAGAACTCCATACAGGAATGTCCTCCTGGAAAAGCTGATAGTTGCTCAGCTAGTAAAAAATGCCCCGTTTCTCATGTAACCAGAATGGTCATTAGTGTGTTCGCAGAAGCCTGTCATTGTACACTATTTTGAGAGATTTTAATCCACTATACCACTTCACAACTAATTTACTTAAGGGTCATTTCAATAGTGTCCTTCACTCTGCACTAAGGTATCCCATGTAGTGTTTTTACTTCTTTTTTTTCGACTAAAATAGATGAATTTCTTGTCTATTCCGTGCCTTCTGCATGCCAATCCCACCCTTATTTATCTTATTTATCTGTTTTTGTGAAAAGTACAAATTATGAGGCTCGTTTTTCTGTTATATTCTGCTGTTATTTTCTGTCCCCTAGATCCAAATATTCTTCAAATCGCTCTGTTCTCAAAAACTCAACTATGCACTTCATATACATGTATGTAGAGCTTCGGCCATAGAAACATATAGGAAATTCTATACTGATTTCTTATTATATTACTTATTCTTTGAGGCAGCATATGGGAACATAAAAGATTCTGAACAGAATGTTAATAAGAATTCCCCTAATACACCGTGTCCAACTTAACGTGGAACCGAACAGAAATATCCGTCTAATACTAGAAGGTGGGTCCCGAGTTACGTGGAACTCTGTGTATAACCGTTTCAGTGAATTTGATCATAAAGGCGAAACATATGCTGAAACCTTGTCTCATGTTTGGTGCTGTCCTCTTACCTCACCTGAGTTATCGAATCCGTGTGTCAGTTCATGCCCTAGTATTGTTCCTATGGCTCCGTAATTCAGCGCCCTGAAAGAGAAAATTAAATAAAATTCGGGAAATACAATGCTATAATCCTTGTAATTTTATAAAAATGTGTTATTTAGCCAAAGTTATTTTATTATTATGCATCGAATGTTTTACAGTATTGCTAATATGTAGACGTTCTTTGTTAATTACTATTCAAAATGACTGCTCGACGTGACCTGCGTTTAGTACTTACTCGAGTCCCAGTTCGTAAAACGGAAACTGCAGAATTCCAGAGGGCACGGCTGTTTTCCAGAATGCATGAAACAAATTTAGTCGTTATCTTAAAAAAGTAATCAGTCAAAACAGCTGAGTGCAGAAACGGGTGATCTACTTGTCATAGAGCAAAATAAACTTCAGAACTCATTTAATAGGTAGTTAAGTTCGGCTATAATTGTTTATAGACGTATGTAGCCAAGTATATGTCGGCATAAATACTTAATAGAGGTTCATTGACACGGCATTCTACCTACAACCTCAGCTTATTTCGTTAAATTTTCCAATGTCCTAGAATTTGTACTGATGATATTTTTGTTTGTCACAAAGGAAGATTAATATGAGGCTTGGAGGCTTGTTAAATGTCCCTATTTAGGCCTACAACAAGTGTTCAAAAGTATTTGTTTATCTGGTTCTTTCAATTCACGAATCTTCTTGATCAACAAATTATATGAGGTACAAAAAGGAGTTAATTCCAAATTCTAGGTCGTGTTCACAGCATTCTAAATGTTAATTCACGATGAGAATACCCCTACAGAAGACACAGCTTTGACAAGTGTTCTTTATTACGAGACTTTCACCATAAGAAACCCATTGGCTTTCACCTATTTCTGAGAATACTGTTTCTCCAATTACACGTGTTCCGTTTTACATACACCTTTTTTTTTCTTCTATGGCGCGATAGCCCGAATTCGTGCCTTGGCCTCCTTTAAGTGACGCTTCGAAATTCGCCTAACTAGAGATCCCCTTTTCCAGTTTCTCACTTCTAAGATCTCCCTGCTGTCTATTTCCAATGCATTAACTCATCTGTTCCTTGGTTTATCTACAGGCCTTTTCCCAATAAAGTTACTTTCCAGAATCCCTTTCGGTATGTGTTTTCCATCCATACGCTAGACATGACTTGCCCATTGTAGTCTTTTTAATTTCATAATATTTTATATACTTGGCTCGTAAATTTGCTTATATAACTCATCGTTACATATAATTCTCCACGTTTCACATACACCTGGTTCTCCTATAATTTCCATACACTGGATACCATACTTTTAGCGTTCTTGTGAGCTCACAAATCTGCATTCTAAAAGGCAGTAACTAATTAGCATCTGTGTATGAGGCGATTTTTCTACTTACTGATTGCATTGGCTTGGAAAGTGTGAAAGGCGTTGACATCTGTAGGATCCGTAACCCAACTGGAACAAGAGAGGCACAAGGAAAATTGAAGGTTTCCGACAATAGTGCGTTATGTTGTATAAAATTGTTTCTTCATTTGCCACCTCCCCTTCGTTTAAAAGCGGGGAGGACAGAAGACCTACCTGTTGGGCCTCCTGTTTGAGAATTTTCGAATTGAAAACCTGGAGACAATGACAGCTGTAGCCAGGTTTGTTACATTGAGCATGCATTTTCTAGTTTGGAAACACCTGTCTTCTGGGATTTCGCATCGTGCAGCCTGTTAGATAGCGACCGACATTTCAGAGATGACCCAAATTTTACTTTTTGCGGCAGGCATATACTTACTGCTCTCATGATGGAGGCAGTAAGTACCTCTGGAACGTCGGGTAGTACCTACCAGGATCTTACGGCGTGACATCCCACAAGACAGCCATCTCCTTCCTGACATCAACTTACACTCATTGGATAAACTTCATTCTCTGAACGTACCTGTCCTCGTCATTTGGTTTCCTAAGGCTCTGGAGCATTGTCGTTGTGAATAGCCCAACGGTTCTGACCAGGTTGGACATGTAGGCAGTTTCATTCACTTCTACCTAGAAAAACAATAAGGTCGGAGAAACCCAAGAAACATTATACGTGACTCGAAGTTTTCAAGCAATCAAGATGTAGATTACAGATTTCTGGATTGTAATGCCTTGTAACTTTGTACATGATTACCAACATTTAGGCGAACGACACATATACCATTATGTAAGCTATATCATCTGCATAAATCATTGTTAAACACTACCTAAATGATAAAGGAGTAAATGGATAATAATTGAAATGCAAATGAACTTATCGGAACTGTATCATTAAATGTAAATATAATAACTCCAATAAAATGAACACGCCAAAGACGCTACAGATGTCTCTACAGTTTTCAGAACAGTTGCGGAGGAAAATATTTGGACCTAACTGGGAGAAGGTGATAGGAGGCTGGAAAAAATTGCATGGTGAAGAACTTAATAATTGCTGTGAGGATAATTAGTTCAAGGAAAACAGAGATTACAGTCTTCTGGGATATGGCGATGTGAAGGCTTGTGATAGAGGGAGTAAGCACGTCTAAAACGTCGGTTATTTTGTACCAGACTACACAGCGCAGCATCCGATAAGACAGTGATCTTCATACTCGACACCTTGAGAACCTGAAATATCGCAACGGGCACAGTTGAATAGAGAAGCAGCAGGTCTAACATGGGTATAGCTTACTCACCCCTTCATAGTATGTTTCCAACTCGTTCCTCTCCAAAAGCCACTCCGGATAACCGACGAAATGTTTAACTGCAGCCGCTTTGTCCAGAGTAGCCATTTTTGTGTCTTCATCCATCCAGTCCACAGAACGAACCAGAGACGAGAATGCCCACTGTATGTCGGCTAGCATATCCACCACCTTATTTCTTGTGGCGTTTAAGAACTTGGGATCTGCTATGAAGTAGCTGACAGCCATGCCCATCAGAGAGTTCACTACATTTGTGCAGAATGTAGATCTGAAACATGCAAAGCCACCCACTTCTTCAAATGAGACATCTAATTATAATTTTTCTTCTCTATATCTTTAACTTTAGTATATAATCCTTTGTTCTCATCTGTCAGTGAAATTCACCTTTGTCTACTAAATTGAAGTTTATATTTTTAATTAGCTTGAAAGTCTGAAAAGTAATAACATCTAGTGCTCTCGAAGGGGCTGATCAAATGTAATCATATAATCGATGAGGCATGATCTCACATGTTAATTAATTAAGTGATTATCGATTTGTTTAACTGCATTTATAACTACATAGATTATGTAGTGTCAAATAATAATTTGTAAATTAAAAACTGCAAAATATATGTAAGGAAGCAATCGATGGCTATTTAAGAGTGTGCTGTTGTATTAACATGGAGGATTTACTGAAATTCACGACAAGCCTTTCGACCTCCTGGATCTCTTGGAAACGACGAGGGGGTTCTATGTACTTCACATATTCTTTTTACAGTGTTACCTCCTGGTTTACTGAATGCTGTAGTTCTATTAATTTTATCTAAACGAAAACAATGTTCGTGGTTATCCTCATCGCAAAATTAGGAAATAAAATGTCAAGTTTCGCGTATTTGTTTAATTGTCGAAAAATATTTTACGTTTAGGCTATATAGTTTTTTCGTAAATGGACGCAAATTTGGTGCCTATTTGTACATTTAAAAACTTTAAATTGACTTCCATTTTCTCATACATGAAATATTGAAACTATTTGTTCGAAAAAAGTTACCGTAATAATAATTCAATTCAATTCAATTAATTTATTAGAGTGCTTGGCAACAGCCAAAAGAGGCCAATAACAGCCAAGCACTAAAAATAACAATACAAAAACAAACAAACAATAAACTAAATATATAAATGTACAATATAATAATGATAATATACAAATTTATTAATTCATTACAAAATAATTAACAGTAAATGAGCTAAATAATATGCCTAAAAGTGAAACATTAAAATACAAAAAACAAACAAATAAACTAATTATATAAATGTACAAATAATTCAACTCATTTATAATAATAATAATAATCACTCAGAAAATATTTGGCCAACATCCCGGGCGAACACATCATCAGGGGACTTCAGAAAACTGCTACTGTTACTTGTACAAGAGAGCTTTAAATAATTAAGTTTGAGAGAAATTTGAACTTGCCCATAAATTTATAGAATCCAATGCATGTGATAGTATATACATATTATAAAAAATGTCTCTGAATGTGGAGGTAGGAACAATTTTTTGATTAAAAGAGGCCTATTGTTTGTAAAGATGTAGCTTATAAGGGAATAATATATAGTACTAATGCTGTAGAATGAAGGAATATAGGAAATTATTTGTATACAGCTATATGTGAACGAGAGCATATAACTAGTAAGTTATAAATGTTAATTCGAGGGGGGTGGGATGGTTTATAGTTGTAGAAAAGAAGTCTGCATCAACAGAATCTCAACATTAGAGACGTATATATTAGGCTCTGTTCCGCAAAGTCCTGGTGTTCGACGGACACGAGTCTTCTGTGTAGTGAACGTAACTCAATAAAGGAATGGACAAATGGAAAAAAGATGCACACGAGAGCCTACCTTGCCTCTGGGGCTCTGCCTCCCATAATTTTTTCGATGTAGTGTTCTTTCATTTCTCTCATGTCTCTGTTGGTTTGTGGAGCTAGTATGTGCACCACTTCCCACCACAGCGCTAGTTCTGAAAAACACACAAGTTGAGGAAAATTAACTATGGAGCAGAGCCCTTCTTCAGAAGGTGATAATTCCTCAGATATTCAAGAAATTATCCACCTTTTATGAAACCCGAAGTTTCAATATCATCTTCACAGGAGGCCATCACTGGTCCCTATCCCAAGCCAGCTCAAACCATTTCAAATTCTCACACCCGTTCGTTTAAGATCCAAAATGGTATTGTCTCTTCAGGCTATTCACTATCTTGGAACTTCTACAATAATAAGGCTATTATACATGGCTATTTAACTACATAATTTACAGTGAGAAATTTTCTGCAGTGTTGCCTGTCAGGCAACGGTGATTTTAAAATTAAATGCCTGCCAAACTAAAGGCCCTGTCACGATAAGTTGAAAAATGTCCTCTATGAATCAAACTAAAATGTTGATTCAAAATTAAATTTTCTAAAAATTTGTACATTTTGATCAAAACTTTACAGGGTCTCTCCCCCCTTAACAAAAATTCTCGCCATTCGATCTGCAAATCCATTTTTAATCATTCTTATTTTTCTATTGTGATGCAAAGGTAGATGGCACTGAGGTGATGTGCCGTATCTGCAGTTATCAAACAGCTTGAGGAGACAGTACTCACCGACAGTTTTACTGGGAGTTTCTGAAAGTAACTTGGCCAAAGACTTGAGATATTCTGCATTAGTCACTACGACCTTGTCTTCTCCTTCTAGGTCAAGGGTCACGTTTTCGATTCCTTCAAACATGAGTGTGAAATATTCCGTCCAATTCAACTGTAAAAAGAAAAGACTGAACTGAAGTTTCGTGAACATTCACAGAAGCAACTGGAGAAAATCTGTACAAGTTCCCATAACATGAAGATGGAACCAGAAGATGCTGGTCATGCCTATTTTATTCAAGTTTTGAGAAGAGAAAACCGAACAGTAACCGATGCTGATCTGAAATTATCATGTACTTTCGGAATGTAATATTTTCTTAATTTTATGATGTATATCAATACAATGCAGTTATACACAACAGAGAACAAGCAGATCACAAAGAAACATATTCGAAATTGTGCTTAGCCTCTGAAATCTTTTACTGTGTGTGAAAATGACACAGGAAATGAGAGGAGAGTGGTCATTGAGCAAAGGTCTGCGACGTATGAATTTAAATAAAAACAATTTTCACTGAGAAGGTTTCTTAAAGGAGAATTAAATTACAGATTCTCACGCAGTTGCATGGCATGCAGATTTGACCATGATTCTTGGAATAAGACTAGAAATATACCTTAAATTACCATGTCTTCCAATTGTGTTATTTATAGTCATGGCAAGAACAAATTCTCTTAGACTGTAATTGGGAGAAACAATTGCTGTCCATATGCCAGAGGTGAAGACACATAGTCTCATTAATTTTATTGCAACGTCAAATGATAATCATTACGAATATCAGCCTCACGTCACTAAACATTATTTTTAGAAATACAAACGTGTATACACAGGCCTTTAGAATTCTTGTTTGAGTTATTGAATGCTAAACTTCAATGAAATGTTTAATGCCTACTTTATAATCAATAACAGACTTGTCTACTGCCCCCTCCCCCAATTCGTCCTGGTACTACGGTCGAGTCACGCACGCAGATACCTCGGACGCGGAACCTCTGAGTTAATAGAGTGTATTTCAAGAACAGAAGTAACAGTCTAGCGTGCATGCTACGTACAGTCTGGTCATTCGGGAATGAGAATCTGCAAACCTTTGCGCCTGACCTGTAAGGTTCCATTGAGGTTTACATCGGTCCACTTTTGTAATTCCTCTACTGACATCTCAATTGCATCGGCGTCTGATACATCATTTTCATTAATAATCTGTAACAATCAGAAACCAGAGAAATGATTATTCTGACGTAATCTCTGCCTCCATTCAGGGGTCGAAGGCGCTCAATGTCAAATAACTTTGGATGATATCCATTTTATAAGGCTCTTATATAAGGAGAGAGAAAAATAGAATATTTACATTTGATCACATTTGTTTTAAATATTTTAGATTAGGTCAGTGATTTTCAATTTGTGGTTAGAATACGGGAAATATTTAAAGGATTCGCTTCGCAGTTCTTAACTCATTGTAGAAGTGCCATGAAAATACGTGACAGACACTCAAGCATAGAGAAACGTGAATTTGTGAATGTACATAAAATATAACGCATACAAATATCTTGTAAGAAATAATTGTTTTGTATCCGCGTTTACCTCCGTCCTTTTCCTTTGATGATTGCTAACAAACCACATACGAGATAACTCATAGGGCAGTTCATGTCACCGCTGTTTCGTTCCTATAAAGCCGTGTATGATTTCATGCATAAAACGACTGGAATGCACAATTTTTATTATCATGAAATAACACGAAAATATGTAACGAGTTTTTTTTAGTGTTCTGTCTGACGACAGGTCCATATGAACAGGATCCTTCCATCCTTTTCTCGGACTGGGACCTGTTCATATACGTTCTTGGCAGATGATCCAGAAGTGGTTTGCCATTGCCTTCTTCTGTGTGTATGGAGTAATTGTTGGGATGCCACGGAGAAATCGGGGAAGTCCCCGGAGGAAAACTCCGTGATGCCTAGACCACGGCCTTGCCCAACACAAATTATAAATCTGAACACCATCGGGAATTGAACCCGGGACCCCATGATTACAAGGCTATTGTTCTGACCGCTAGGCCACCGTAGCGGCATGTGAAGAGTACGAATTCATAAATGGGAGTTCTTTCACATTTTTCTTACTTCTGTTAACCTGTCGTCCATTTCCAGAATTCGTATGGCTGCCATTTTCACGGAAATATCGAAATCTTTGTCCAAGGACGCGGTGTTGTTCCACCTATGTATGTACGATATAGTCTGCGCCAGGTACTGCAAGAAGGCAGTAGAATATATGTCCTGGTCCTCTCCTCCGTCACTAACTTTTGCCCTTCTTCTTCTTTGTTTATCAATTCGCTTGTCTATGTCTCGGTACCTACAAAGATAAACAATATGTACTGTTGCACTCATCAACACCATTACAGCCTAAATGAGAAGGCGGATGCAAACGAGAGACGAAGAAAGTATTTACCCGGTGGCGCCATGTCACATATATGTTGTATGATTTACCTCGTAGTCTCAGTGTCCATGACGACCAAGCTCGCCGTGAACTTAGTTAATCTCGAAGATGACTGCCTTCTGGGTTGTTGCGGGTAGTCTGGTAGACGTTTACCGACGTCTCAGAAGTGCTTGCTGCCTCCATCATCGAGATGATCGCGGCCGAAAAACTTTTACCAGACTACATGGCGCAGCAGCCTAGAAGACAGCCATCATCATACATGCCTCCGAAGAAACCTCAGATTTCAACTGGTTAGTCTCTTTTGTAGATATGGCCTTTCAACAAGAATGTGCGCAATCTGAAATTAACAGCACTATCTACGAATATCGATTAATACTCGTTAAAATGATTTATTTAATTCGATAGTATAATCGTACCCTGGTAGAGGCGATCTGATGTCGGGAGTTCCCAACGTCAGCCTCTGTACGGTCCGATTCGAGTTCTGCGGATATACCGACAATCCAACAAGCAGATCCTGGAAGATACGCCTCTTCGTCTTCACGGCTATTGGCACCCAGTTGAAAGGCTCATGCGTGGTTTCAGCGTTGAGGGGGGGACGAACCTGCATCCCGATATCCCTCAGGATCTGAAACATTGGCTCCAGGCCCTGCGAGTCTAGCTCGTCTGCAAAGAAGTCAAGGTAAGAGCGTACTCGTAAAAGTGGCAGAAGATGTCAAACGTTGGAACTCGATACCACGATACATGTGAGTTGTAGGGACTCTCTTCTTCGTCATTGAATATCCGACTGACAACGCCTGGCTGGCTGTAGCTGACTAACGAAGTATTTTATCTGCTCGGTTCTGCTGTGTTCCAGTAGGTGGGAGTACCATTTAACCATGGCAGTATGACAAAATACTTTTTGTTCATCGTGTTTGAAAGTTCGAAAACGGTTAACATGGCTATTGACTTTGAGCTTCTAGAGCCATATACATAAAATCAATTTAATCCAGGAACTCACTCCACTCCGTTAAAGTGGTTTAGTGATTTCTCAAACGCTCAGATAAACACACAGTAACAATAAATATAATGCTAACTCAAGCTTTATCTGCTACATATTTCACCTGTATTCATGCAGGATTTATGCATGATCCTGGCCTGTGTGACTGGAAGAGGTTCGCTCTCAGAACCATTCTTTTGCAAGTGATCTGAAAACAAAGACGTAGTATGTTATGAGTGTTTGTACATTGCATACATAATTTCACGTGTTTCTGTGCAAAAGAGACTTGCTCACTCATTCACTTCAACTCCTCTTTTCGGGCTGTTTTTATCTTGATTCTATAGCCCATCGGATCATGTTAAAAATGGACCTGTGAAGATGACTGTCTTCTGACACGTTGCACCGAGCAGTCTGGTAGAAATTCGACGACGTTTAAAAGGCACTCACTATCTAGACCAACAGGGCGATGAATGTCTTTTTATGATAGAGGCAGTTAGTACCTCTGAAACGTCGGCATTTTCTACAGACGTAGATAAACATTCCAGAAGACAACTTCATGCTTGTCGGAGTGAGAAACTGAAATCTTACTAACTTAAGAATTTTCTTGCTGGCGTACAACTCCGCTACGGCAATTATTTAGATACCATATTTTGGTCACCCCTTAACACGGAAGGAAACTGCCGTTTTTGTATGATGTGTAAATATTTGTGGACGTCAGTCAGACTGCGAGATGGACATGCAGGCCGACACATCGGGGGTTCAAGCACGAATGTTCCTATTGTTACACCGTTGCCGATTCGACCGCTCGAAGATCTCCCTGGACCCAAAATGTTTCCCACGTGTAGGCGTATCAGCTTTCAGAAATTGTTGCTACTCGCCTCGGATGCGCCTCATCATGTGGTGGGTGCGCTCCGTGAACCAATTGTGCTCGATGGCTGTGTCAGGCGTCGGGTGTTCGCCTGCCCAGTTACCGCACGTGAAGGTGTAAAAATCTTCGCATGGGTCCACGGTCCGGTCCATCGACTGCAACAGGCTGGCGGCTGCAGCAAGCACAAACCACTGTCTTTACATCGAAACAAAAATTACATGATAGGACTCTTCAAGCCTATCAAGTATAGGACTAACGAACTGTAAATTCTTGAAAGAAATACATTATTAAATTAATATTATGCCGTATTAAAGATATTTTAAGTAAAAACATAATAATAGGAACTGCGCTCGGTAGAGTGGTCTATAAAATACTATTTCGGCATTTTAAATGTTTGTTACGTAGACATTTTATGTTAAAATGAGTCTAATGAAATTTTCGTATATCTGACAAGGGCATTAACTAATGACATAAGTCTAAAATCTTACTTGCTTCAAATTTGTTAGAATAATGAGGACAAGATGCATTTGGGGCTAGGCATGTAGCACTATGGGAGAGATAAAATTTATATAACTGTCTACTACTTCAGTCGGAAAATCTGAATTGAAGAAATCACTTGTAAGGCCTAGTCACAGACGAGAGGAAAACATTACAGTTGTTCTTAAAGAAATAGGAAATGAGGGTGCTGACCGAATTTATCTGGCACAAGACTGGGGCCAGTGGCTGCCTCTTGTCGATTTCCTAACACAGAGTTTTTCTTAAATAGGTGAGTGGCTATTAGGACTCTGCCTAAGTGCTTACAATGCCAACAATTAAAACTTCTGGTTTGCCTGTAGGCGGTAAACCAGCATTCATCACGAAGTTCCACGTTTCTTAAAAGGCCTACCAAATGCTAATTACGGTCTCTACTGTTACGTTAATAACAATTCTATGAATTAATGTGAAGAGTCGTAATTTTCTTCCAGCTGAAGATTGTGTGATTCAATTCCAAATTACTGATTAATCCGATAACATGTTACACGCCAATTAGTCCCCTATTCAAGATATTCATAGCCGAATATCTTTGTCATCAGTTTCGCAACTTTTCATTGTATCACATTCTTATCACGCCCATTCGCCCCCTCGTTTAAACTGAAAACCGTCAGTACCTAATGCGTGGGTTTAGCACCTGGCACGAATGCAGGGCGAGACCCTGAAAAGAGTCGTTGAAATTCGTACAAAGCACTTTCTGACACCTTTTAAAATAAGGTTGAATTTTAAATTGTCTTCTATATTCACAGTTCTCTGCAGTGGCAACACGTAGCTGCCATGTTACAGAGGAATTAATAATAATGATTTTGTGTAATGGAAAATCTATAACGTGTTGTTAAATCGTTCTTTTGGAGAAAGGTGAAAAATCAGGACAGAAACCGTATCTGTTGTTCTCCGTTTTGGTCCACGGGGTCCAGAAATTAGGTTTTATGCCATCCGTCCCCATTCAGAATTCAGCTTACTAAACGTTGTAATTTTATAATTTAAACGACGGGCAAAGTCCCGAAGAACAATTTTACACATTGTAAATTTTCTCTTGCACAAGCTTATTGTTATTAGTAGTAGCCTATTTAATAAATACGCAGTTGTGTGAACTTATGTAACATAACATGTCAAATGAGACGGGACTTTCGTAGCCAGAATGGACCACTGCAATAACATAACAGAACACAATTTCAACAATCGTCATCACCCCCACTAATATTTGACGCATGGAATTTATTCTTGAGTGTCTTCATAATTTATGCCAGCATATGTAGTGGTACTCATTATTGCCATCTGTGTCTAGACACAAGTATATGTTACATGTGTGTGTTACACCGGGTGGTTCTTTTATATAACCTCACCTGACCTGACGCAATCAACGGAGTCACATATTCGAACAGCTGTTGGAAATCGGGAGTCTGAAAAAGAAATCAGGCAACTTATCGGCTGTGAGATTTGAGGTTTATACGGCGGTGAGGATGTTAATTTTTATCTCGGTTTTGACGCCGTTTAGACTCGTCGGTAGATACCAGCGTTTGGAAGAAAAACACTGTCACCATCTTCAGGGCTGAAGATGAAGGCAATGGTTCTCTGGTATGTACCGACGACTCTGCACAGCGCCAAAATCCAGAACAACATCAACCTGTCTTGTTACTCAAAACGACACAAGGCGCTGCACGGTAAAGCGAAATTTCACCAGCGTGCTAACACTACGTATAGGTACTGAGTAACTGAGAAAAATGGAAACCTCACTGAGGAGGTACGTCTGTCACAACTAGAACTCTTCACTTTTCATGTGCGGAAGCCTTCACGTACAATCCGGTCTTCAAGGGTACTCCATGTTTAACGTGTGGGTTAGATAGATAGTGACAGAAACATGACACGAGAAAAAGTCCCCACACACCACCACAAGACACTGTCTTACCCCCTAAATTAGGCATAACGACGCGTAGCTGAAACAACCCTGTAACAGCTTCTGAGACTATCGCACCACGAAGGTTACGTACCGCAGATTTCTGTCTTTTGGATTGTTGCACTGTGTAGTCTGGTAGATGTTTACCAACGTTTTCAGAGGTCATACTGCCTCCGTCATCAGGACGATGAATCGACGTCTACCATATTACACAGCGCAACAACCCAGAAGACAGAAATCTGCATACTCGCCGCTGTGAAAACCTCAAATCTTGCAGGTTACTTACTGTTGTAGCACATGACAGCCAGGGCGATGGTAAGAGCGATGCTAAGGACAAAAGCGACGATCAGTAAGATCAGCAGGCGACGCTCTGACGGCGGTCTTCTCTTGTAACTGCGTGACAAGAAATACATTTTGAGGGTGTTGGCGCTCATGGGCGACGACACAGTGCAATGCGCTTCGAAAACGCCGAAATTCCAGAAACGAAGATGACTGTCTTTTGGGAAGTTACACTGTGTACTCCAGAGCAATGAATCACTCTTCGTCCTGGTGATACAGGAAGTAAACTCCTCTGAAACGTCGATCAGTTTCTACCAGACTACACGAAGTAACATCCCAGAAGACAGGCATTGTCTCACTCATCGCCGTGAGAACCTGAAATATTACGCCGAAATTCCATTTATTTTGCGGCAGTGAAATATTTAACACGGTAAATATAAGAAATTTGCAGGATGCAGAAAAGTTAAATATTAAATTCTTATACTTGCTCTTATTTTGCCGCCTATGACATTGCATATAAGATAAAATTAAAGGTAAATAAGGAAGACAAACTGTCTGTTCTTTATTTACTGCACACTTCGAAATGTTACACGAAAATCGTATAAAGTAAACAGACGAGGTCAATAATTCCCTGCTTCATTTAACTAAAATAACGTGTCACACCTAATGTAACAAGAATGATACATACATTACTTTTGTTACTCTAATGTCAACCAATAGAGTGGAATTAACGAAGACAGTCGTGATCATGTCGTTGTGTCTCTTAAGTGCAATACATTATGGATACTCACAAGGCTCCTCTCGTTGACACACCGATAAACTCATTGTCGCTAAATGTCTCAGGAATGGACAACGTCGCAGACGTAACCCCTGAAAATTATAGAGTTATATTTCACGAGACGCTAAAATAACAGAATGATGTAGATCTGTGTTTCTCGTAGTGTGTTAAATCACTCGCATGACCAGAACTTCGGAAATTACGTTTAAAACTGCAGAATAGTGTAGTTTGGGAATGCCAAAATAAAATTTCACAAAATGAGCTATGTAGGATCCTAGCAGAAAGGCATCTGTGTTGGTTACACATGAAAATCTGAGAAATGTTTGCAGTTTCACTTAATCGCATCATTAATAACCTCATTAATACAAACCAGTCAAAATTTCATTAAGGAAGAAAGTATAAGGAGGTCAAATTCGAAGAATACGCTGTCATACAGTTAATAATTTTCTGTCTTCCCTCTGGAATCCAAGAACGTAAAGATTAAAATATATAGCGTTATAATGTGACTTCTTGTCTTGTATGAATGTGAAATTCGATCCATTCCGTCAAGAGAAGAACACAGATTGTGGGTGTTCTTTTTGTTTCCTGTTCTGTGTTGTTTGTTTATATCTATTAATTCCATTGTATTGAAATACATTTTAAGCAAGTCGTTTTCCGTATCTTGAGTTTCTATGTTGTGCTTATTGCTGTTAACTGTTTGCGTGTATTTGAAGAACCCCTTATATTAAATGTACTCTTATGTATTTACTCAGTACTGTATTAAATTTGGTAGACTTTGATTCACAATTTGTGTTTTTCCTTTCATACTGAATTATAATCCATGTAGGCCTTCATATTTAACAAATATTACTGGTAGTGTTCATGTACACCCCTGGTCAGACAGCTTCTTGAGCGTTAGATTAATAGTAGTCGTTTATCAAGAGGCAGTTGATTTATGTCAAGAGCTTTCAGTTCCTACTTTAAAGCAGGCGCTTTGGGATCCTCTACCTACGGGTTTTCTTTGTAAAGAACAATACTGTCTAAATTGATAACATGATAATTAGTCAACCAACCTCTATTACACACACTTTTAAGCTAAGTATGTTTGTGTTATTCGATTACAGAAAAGTCTTCTATTCCTATTCTGTTAGAGACATTGCATTGCACGTTATTAATATAGTACCAAAAAAAAACATTGGAAAAGATTTGGAGCTATAGATTTTATTGCGTTTTTTACGGGTTAAAAGAATAGGTTTGACACAATAATCTGAATATTTTTACCTTCGTTTCAATGAGTTATAAATAACTAAATAAACCAATAACTTATAGTCTATGATAAATAAAGGTAATTCTCTCGTCAATCTTGACAGAAATTATCTATAAAATTTCTTACTTTTAAACCACATAGACATTTCAGCTTATCTATTTATTTTGTGGTGTTTTGTCAGTTGCAGAAATTATAGACAAGTACATTCGATGTGTAAATGTACCATACTACTGCAGAGTACATTTTTAGCGTGGAGATAAAGATCCAGGCATTGTCAGAATTAGTCACTTGACGTGTAAACAAATTGAAAAACTGTAACTTTTATACATTTTTAAACTGAATGTTCTGTACTTGTAACTCACGTGATGGCGGTTGAGACGTTTTACTGCCAATGCTGAGCATCTCTGTGGTTGAGACACGTCACTGTTATCTCGTCATATTCATTACTGACCACTCTGTAGAGAGTGGTATAACCTGCGAGAGAAATGCAATTAATATAAGCAGCAGGGGCCCTGGATACCAGTGGCTGTCTTAAACGCTGCTGGAGTCGTTCAAGACTCCTATCACGGAATTATGTTTTATTTATAAACTTATCCGTGTTCAGTTTTCATTGTGTTGCTGTAGTATTTATAGTACTAATAATATTGACGTGCTTGACAACAGCAAGAAAGTTAATTATAAGAAAACACTAAAATGAGACGAAAAGCGTATGTACTGTACAATGAAACACTTTCTTGGTGAGCTGTATTTGCGTGCTTGTTGTATAATATAACACTCAAATCGTGTACAAGAAGACAGAAATTTGTCCATGTAAATATTCTCTTTGATTATTTATTCGAGAGTAAAAAAAAATGTACAAATGTAGCCTTGGTGACGCAAGCAAAGAAAGCTCTTTGTAATTTTATGTTTTGTAAAACAGAATTACGTGAGCTGCGCCTGCTCTGTATCATCAAAAACCCAAACTAAAGGCAAATATTTTCTTTCATGTTTCATATTTACGTATAAACTGTGCAGGGAATTCTGATCTTTAGGTCATAATCCAGTCATCGTCAGTAGAGTAAAGAAAACAATATTAGTGAAATACATAAAATAATTAATTTTATACGGTCAACGTAACTATGTATTTTAAGACGTAAATTATGAAGTCTGAACATTATTGCTTTATGCCCAAGCAACATACTATTTAATACGTAGCATACCTAAGACACACTTACGAATTTGTTCCATATATTAATAAAACATAGCTCACCAGTTGACAATTCAAGCGTCTAATGATAAACGGAAATATAAACAAAACGATAAATTTACAATAGTAAAGTCGAGCTCCTTAAAACAAAGAATCCAACCTGATATTTAGCACACGCAACATATTTTTCACATTCGACACAGTAACATGTAATATTGTATGCCAAGCACAGTAAATTTAAAAACACATGTACACATATAAAGTGAAAATATATTTTTTAAAATTTTGGATAATTACATGTTACGTAATTTTAGAATTTCCATTGGAGTTTGAAAGACGCACTGCTTTGAAATTGCTTTACTTTAACTGAACTGCATAGAACGTCATGAAATATAAAGACGATGTAAAGTATTAGAATTTAATACAAAAATACTCATTCAGTTGTGATGACCTAAATATGTCCAGTTATGTCAAAGAAGGTTTTATGGACATATAGAATAAAGCGAGAGCAATTAGTGAATGAAAAATCTCGTTTTACTTCCCACAGTAATAATTCATAGAGCTTGGTAACGCCACGCCTAGCATGTCAGTCTGATTGCTACAAAAGCAGAAATATATATTTTCTCGCCTCTTGTATTGATTTTCCTTCGAATCTCAAGTTGCTGAACACCGTGTTGAGGTATGTGTTTATAAAGCAGTCTGTTACGGAAAGCCCCAGTTTAGTGTTAATAAAATTAATAGGTTTTCTGCAAGTGTCGGGCTTGATTTTTGGCTATATGCCGGCTTTCTTGACTGAAAGATTTTCTAGACCCAGAAGGTTGATTGTGGATACGATGCAACCATTTGAATCAATGCCCCTTCCAATTAATCACTTACAGGGATTTCGACTTGTATAATTGTGGAGTTGGAAAAGTATAGTTAAATAAACTGACAACCAAGACCGCCTGTTAGGTAATTCATGGTTATTTATTCCAATAACGCGTAACAGTGTTATAGCTTCTTTTCGTGACTCGACTAAAAACAAGATCAGATATACGTTCCAACCTTTAATATTAGACCAAGTTCAATGTTTTAGTGGCATGGACATTCAGATCATGCAACACGTGTTTGTGAACAAACGACAGTCAAATAATATTTGATGTATGGTATCAGTGTTAACTTCTTGCTTCAACTGAACTTCAGGAATAAGGTGATTGCATTATCTCGTGAAAAATATTGCCTTTCAAATCTTACTTTTAAATATCCATTCTTTAATATAGTATTATACTGTCAGTTGTACATTCAATTTGTTGGACTGATTCTGTCAGACATTTTACTCAAAACTACGCCAGGAGGAGAACTCATGTCCAGCTGGTATTGCTATTAAAGTTCTTCCATTCTTCCTGTTGTCGGAACTATTGAAAAAAACATGAAGATGTATGTCTTCTGGGTCGTTACATCGAGAAGTCTGGTTGAAGTATGATTGACGTTTGCCGACGTTTCAGATGTAACAACCCAGAGGACAGCTATCTTTTTACTCGCCATCGTGAGAACCTCAAATCTCACTATTCACAAACATATTTGTGAGTCTTGAGCTATTTAAATAAATACTAGTAAAGAGTGTAACTTTTTATATTATATTTATATTAGTACTTTGCAATATATTAATGGATTAATAGATTGTTATTTCAGTTTTAAAGTAATTGTATTGTATGATTTGAGGTTTTTCACAGCGGTGAGCATGAATTATACGGTGTTATGTGGAGAAATCGAATAAAAGTACGAAATATCTGTCAGCAAACAGGTTTCCGGCCAAAGTAACAACTTTTGTCATGAATTAATTTATTGAAAATCCCAAATATTTTCTTCGTTCTTGTTATTTGCTGTAAGTTCTTGATGCTCGTCGGTTTCATTTCCCCCCCCCAATCCCTCGCAGAGTTCAATTTCGCAGTGTTACCAAAACGTGTACGACACAGCTAAAAAGTGTATGAACTTTTTGAACGACTAGACAGACATTAGTGAGGCACGGGGCCATTAGAATACTAGCAGCCCAAATACGTATAGCTTTTTCCTGGGTATTGTTACGTGTTTTGTAACACATTCTTCCAAAACAAACTTAAAAAAAAGTCGAAGAACTTTCATAAAATATGAAGAAAATTACTTGTGCTTTGCCAAGCGGAAAAACTAACCAAGTCAACAAACAGGACGTTAATGTCTGTTGGAAATGTTTACATGACCTTGTGAATGACAAACATACATTGCAGCGAAGGAAAAAATGAAGAATAATACTTCAGTCGCTCTGTGGTGTCGTGATCACTTGTGAGGAAATTGTGTAATACAGGGAACATCGGCGACAGTCAGGTTCTAGATGACTTTTAGAGTTTCGGATTAAGGCTTAGAACTTATCGCCGACCTCAGCGTGAAAATTTTCCTAACACCTGGAGCACCTTCAGCATTATTACACAATAAACCGTTACTCTGTTGCCGGAAATATCGATTAGCGCCTTTTATCTCCGTCAGAGTTTTTTTTATAATGATTCTTATCTTACGTTCTCCATATAAAAACATAAATTGATTAAACGAAATGGGTCAACAGCTTTTATAGGACGAATGGCAGTAATAGAACATGCGAGGCGCTGAGAAAGTTTACTACGCTTTCATTGATAAACACATTAAAACACGTTCCGTGAAGTTTAATGTTTTGTATTTGCGACAAGACAGTCTTCAGAGTTATTGAAGAAGAACGAAATTGGACTACAACCGTCACGTTGATGGGCACTGCATTATTATTAATAAAATTAAATTACGCTTAAGGTACTTAAGTCACTTGACGATATTGCTTCAGATATAAATGCCATATACTGTAGAAGGTGATGAGAATATTATCATGTCTATCAGTAGATAAGGATTTAGGTGGAGGCTGTCATGGCTGCTTGAATATTATCCCAGCATGAGCATGGTAACCTGAGTAAAACTACGAATATATTGTGAAGATAACCGGGAACCTACCAAAGATTAAAAATTCGTTATCCTGAACACAAGACAGGAGCGTTACTGCTTTGTCATTCCGATCGATAGATATGTACAGAGTGAGATTATGACAGTCAAGAATTATAGACTCTATAAGAATAACAGGTACTTCGAAAACATGTTTTGTTTATTGCATGTTTTATATTCCGATGGACACATTACGAACATGGATTGTTGGCGGTGGGGGTGGGGTTAAGAAGGGGTTCAGTCATCCATAATGTCAGACTCGAAATATAATACGAACAAACGTCCTGCTACTTCACAAAAAATAGAGCTACAGCACTTTCATTTCGATGTTCATTTATTCATGTTATGTTTAACCTAAAGATCACTGATTCTTTCTCTCTCTTATTGGTCATTATAAAAAAAAAATAGTGTCAGGACATTCATAATAATTATGCGGACAGAGAGATAGTTTCCCCCCGTAAATGTAGGTTACCTAAAATTATACTGAATAAGCAGTCACAAACTACCCACACGGTTAGGTTTTTGAGGTTATAATTTTGGCGGGGGGGGGGGGACTAAGAACCACATACGAGTTCTTTGAAACGACTAAAGTAATTGGACGTCATGTTTGGAACCTGGAATATCGGATGTCTTGTAGGTCAGTAATGACTAAAAAATTTAGTTGCAGATCTAATTATAACATTGAAATGAAGCATAAGTGAGAACGACACGCAAACCACCCAGGCGGCTTACTAACTTGGTATGCCCCGTGTTCGATCCCGAAAGTTGTCACTAATGTGGCTAATGGGCCTATAATCATCTAAATCACCTAAACACG